CTCCTTGTGGACATCCTCGGCCTTCTGACCTGTATCTGGTCCGAGTCTCCGTCCCCATAGTGAGGCTTGACTTCCTATGATTCAGCCAGCTTGATATCCAGTTGATGAGACGTCCATTCGTGCCAAATTCTTTAAGAGCTTCGGCTATGGCACTGTGTTTGATGGTGCCAAATGCATCGGAGAAGTCCACGCTGATTGTTGCCCAGTGTGGAGTTTTGTTCTGGAAGTCGATCATGCTCCGTACCAGCTCGATGGTAGAGCCACCCCTTACGAAACCATATTGTCTTCCACTTCTGCTCACCATTTCCAGTTGCGGAGATAGCTCACGCATAACCAGAGCTTCAATAACTTTCCCAATGCAACAGTTCAGACTCACCGGTCTGAAGCTCTTCACCTGATTCTCTGGCCGGCCGTTTTTTCGGAGGAGAATGATTGTCGATGATTTCCATGATGGGCTTACATATCCCTCATTCAGCGAAAAATTCGCTATTCGAGCTAGGTACTCTAAGACCCACTGAGGGGCCGCTCCAATGTGCCTCAACCTCACGCCATTTGTGCCTGGGCTTTTATCCCACTTGCTCCTCCTTTGATCCAGCACTTGTTTAACATCATCGGCCGTGAACTCAAATCTTGCATCCTGATCACTGAGAGGGAGCACAGTAGCCCGGAGAAGATTCTGTGGTGGCTCCAGCAAGTCTCCGAGGTAACAATCGGCGAACTGGTCGGCTGTCTCATCCATGCCAGCGCATCCTTCTAACGGAGTCAGTGGGGTATATGGGGATCGGCTTTTGAAGGCTTTAAAGATATCCTTGTTATCGCCTGTTGTCTCGATAGAGTCTAAAGCCCTGTTTAGGGCCTCCGATTTCTTCTTGATTATGGCCGAGCGGTATTCATTACGAAGCTTCTTCCTCAGTTCGGAGTCCTGCCCTCTCTCTGCTTTCTTGAGTTCAGTTCTCTTAGTCTTGAGGTCGTCATCCCACCAGTCGTTTCGGTGTTTGACGAAACGGGATGATGGGAGACTGGACTCCTTTCTCCTGCGCGATGCCTTCTTGAAAGCTGCCTGTATGCTGGATGTGATGTGGTTCAAGGCCACCTCGCAACTAGCTCCACTGTTGATATCCTGCCTATCTGTAGGTTCTGCAGCTTGCAGAAATTGTTTGTACTTTTCCCAGTCACAAGAGTAGAAAGAGAAATCCGAAAGCTCGTTCTGTGCGAGGTGAGACTTGGGGCAAAGGGGCTCCGTAGTGAGAGCAAAGTCGTAGATGATAGGGTAGTGGTCGGAGAGGCCACGGTCTGGAAGTATTTCCCAGTTAAATACCTCCAGGCCTCGGGAGAAGGTAACATCAATCCAGGACGAACCTCCCCCACCGAGATGTTCGAATGTGGGCCCTCTTATCTTGTTGTCGCAGTGGTAGCCATGCGATAGTATAAGATCTGAGAAGGTATCCCCCTCTCGCCATGCATCCGGAGAGCCTTGGTCTAGTGGGCACCACATGGGTGAGGCACAGTTTGCGTCTCCTGCAATGAGGCTAGGGCCTGAATAGTTCTGCAGATATACAT